TTTTGTGGCAGATCTTGAACAAAGGCTGCCCAAATTTCGATCGGCGCATGCCTGTACTCGACCCAGTAATAGTCGTCTCTCCTCCTTGCTTTGCTGTCTTTGGGGCGACCATGGGTAGATTCGAACTTCAGACCGTCCGCAGCGCACACTTCGCCACGTGTCCATCAGTTTCTTGTCAGTATCAAACATGCTAATGACTGTGAATACTGACGAAGAGACCGGTTGTATCAGGAAGTAATCTCTGGCCCCCTCCTCATTCCCTTTGAGAGCCGCGAGTCTCTTCCGGATCCAACCGATCTTATCATTGGAGGACTTGTATGTTGCATCGTCGTAAAAGACCCAGTTGCTTGCATGACGTGTGTAGAGATCATCCCGCTCATGGATTTTGGCAGCAGGCAAAGTTTTAACCTGAATCTTTTTACCCCCCTGATGAACTAGGCGATCCTCTGAGTTGGTGAGGAGCCTAGAGAGGAAGTATGCACTGGCTGTCGTGGTGTTTTCGAGGGGAATCTGCCATGTCCGATCTCCATTTTCTTTTTTCCCCCGCTGGATTGTCAAGGATTCCCCGCTGTACATGTGCTTCACCTTGCCCGCCCAGGAGGTGGATGAAGAGTCCGGAGTCGCTTGTGCTTCGATTCGTTCCTTTGTCGCCTGTAATTCTCCCAGAAGTTGTCCGGGCGGAGTGAACGTCTTGTGCTGCTTTTGTTCGCCACAGTCTGTCATGCAAATGTCATGTGCCTGTTGCTTTTGTGAGGTGATGTGTTCTTTCCCTTTAGCCGGGTGGTGCATCGCCCCCTGATAGAATAGTTTTCCCCCCCCGACCCTTTTTCCTTCTTCCTTCGTCGTCATGCTGTTCTTTCCTCGTTCCCTCTGACGTATATTTTGTGGCGAGATTTCTGCCTACCCAGGGGAGCCGCAGGTCAGCCCTCTGTATCCGCCCTGGGTGTTAGTTAACACAACCTGTCGCCAGGTGAACCACAAGTTAGCCCTTTTTTTTTTTTTTTTTTTTTTTTTTTTAAATTGCTCCAATTTATTCGTGGGGAGCATCACGTGTTGGGAACTGGGCCTAGCGTCCCTTATAATGGGAATACATTGATGATTGACAATTGATGAAAATTTGGGATGATTGAGGATCATTTTGGATGATTTAGGATGTCAGAGTGGGTGATTGAGGTCATGAAATAGAGCTAGATGAAGACTAATCAGAAAGATTGTCTACTCAGCACTGAATTACTATCCTATCCCTAATTTCCTGTATCCATTCCAAACAACCAATCACAATTGAGCTCGTGTTGTGCACCAATCAGGCCTCTTCCCAGTCTCACACCCCAATCTGACTCGGTTACAGGGCAGCGCTACCCACCCCAGCTCTGACCATTGTCGACCAGATTGTAGCCATTAGTCAAGTTTGCAGATTGCCTTCCTCCCTCGGCAATTCCAGACCTCTATACAAAGCATCAAGCTCCTACACAAGCAGGCACTGCCCCAGCGGCGGCTAGCGTCGTTCTGGCGCCAACTCAACCTGGCCATTACAGAAGAAGACTCAATAAGGAATTAGCTAATCTAGAATGCCAACCAGAAAACAAGGATCTGATAATATCAGAATCCTGATCAGCAAAACTTTATGATGATGAAATTTGACGAGTACCCTGAGAAGATCACAAAGATGATGGATAATGACGACGACGCTGATGATTATTTATTTCCCCCCCTCCCCTTCTTCCATGTATTCTCCTCCTCTCCCCTCATTTCCACTTCTCCTCTCGCTGCCTCCGCTGAGCCCAACCTCGCTATCAGCATGAAGTTCCTATCAGCCCCAACGAGAGAGAGAACCTCCCCATTCCCTTTTACCTTGAGGTAACCAGTTCCCCCAAAAGGTGTACCTCAAAACTAACACTCTGACCTAGTCTGCCTCCGCTAGGAGATAATGCGCCCCCATACATATCTCCCAGCCCCAGCCCACGTCAGCTCCCACCGTCTGCGTCTACTCCTTGGAGGATAATCACCTCCCATCTTGTGTTACCCCTGCAGAGTAGCGCTCCCTTCCTGACCAACCTACCTACCAACTAGACCATAGTCAATCTGGGAGATGAGAATATAACCACCAACACAGAGATAAGTACTGATTGATGAAAAAATGAGTAAAGAAACCGTGATGATGATGATGATGATGATGATGAAATAAAATTGGCGAAAATAAATAAGGGACGTCGGACTTGCGATGTCGTAATGGCATCGGTGTGGAAGATTGACAACTCACTATTGTTGTAATGAAAATAGAAGATGAGGATGATTATGATTTTTACAGAGAAGTCCAGATGATGATCATGAAGAAGATAAAAAGAAGATAAATAACATGGATGACGGATTACAGAAGCCGATGATGATTACCACTGGTAACCAAAGGATTACAAAAATGACGGTGCCCTTGATGAAAACCCCCCGCTGAAAACACAATGATGAAAATCTTGATGCTCTTGATGGATAACCTGCACAAGACAAAAAAACAGATGAAAGCACATATATAGGTTGATGATGACCTCCTAGCCGCTCTCTTGATGATACTCTCCCAGTGGCACTGTGGTGATTCTTCAAGTAGGACCAACGTTCTCCACACTTTGGTCTCCACCAGACTGACTCCACTTTCCTCCACCGACATCGACTTTCGTCAAGTCGCATGAGCTCTCCAGCCTCTTTAAAGGTCTTGGCTTTGGAGTACTTCATGTGAAAAACACAGGGAAAATGCTCAAACAGTAGCTACCGCTACCATTCTCCCTTTTCCTCTGTGCCTCAGACCAGATGCCACGTCAGCATGTGACATAGTAATGACCCAGCGCCTCTGGATACCGCGCGTGCGTCAAGCGCTATCCCCCATCTAATTCACAACATCACAGCAACATCACAGCAACATCACAGCACCGTCGCCTCAGAGCCTCCCTCCCGTTGGCTACCAGCACCACGCCACGTGTCAGCTAGCATATTACTAGTCACCCCAAGCCAGTGCCTCGCCAGCCGCAAGTCACCAGCGCCCCACCACTCACCTGTTGCCAGCGCCTCGCCCTCCGCCAACAGCCAGTGCCTCGCTGCACTCACACAGCCAGCGCCTCGCCACTCGTGAGAATCCAGCGCCTCGCAACCTGCGAGAAGCCAGCGCCCCGCCACCTCCGACCAGCCAGCGCCTCGCCTGCAAGCAACCAGCATGCCACCATCCGCATGCCGCGGCGGCCCGCCAGCCATAGCGCTAGCGCTAACGCGTTTCCACGACAGGTTAGCCCTCAGTAGCAGTTAACGCAAACTGTCGCCAGTGACGCCAGGTGATGCAAGATGCGGTTGCAGAGAAAAAAAAAAAAAAAAAAAAAAAGGGTCAATCGATCATTTATGTGGGGACATCCAGTCAAGGGGCAGGAGGGATCGAAGAGGACCTAGGAGAAGCGGCAGGGGAGAGGATGGTACCGACAAGGGTTCAAGATGTCCTTTGTCGTACTCTTGTTGACAACCTTTTCTTCCTCCTCCACCGTGTGGTTCACACGGGGCCCCGTGAGGAGGAGAATAGTATGTCCACCTTTGTTGAAGGCAGTTCCTATCTCTGACGAGTGCACGAGAAATCGTTGTCTCCCACTTGCTACTGTATCCGTCCGCTTCTCACCTCTCTATTCACCTTCCCCTTTGTTTACGAGTTGAAAATCTGGAGATTTCTCTGTCTTCGCCTGTCGCCGCAAGAGATAGGACCGTTTTCGCCACTATATCTAATTCCTCCCGCCGCCCTTGGCTCCCACTTGCTGCAGTGTACCCCCACTATCACCTCTCGCTTCTTCTTTGTCTCTGTTCTCGCTACTGCATCCGTTCGCTTCTCGCCTCTTGATTCACCTTCACCTTTTTTTACGGGTTGGAGATCTGGAGATTTCGCTGACCTCGCCTGACGTGGTCGTCCACCCCGTTCACCACAAGGTCGCACCCTCTTCCTTGAGGGTTGGGCCTGTTGTTACCACTCGCTGCAGTGTCCCTCCACTCTCGCCTCTCGCCTCTTTTCCCCAGTTTTGTGGAGATAGAAATTCCGCTCTCTTTACCTCCGCTATTGATGATAATTCCGCTCTCTTTACCTCCGCTATTGATGATCTAGAGAAATATATATATTTTTTTGCCCTCCTTTCCTGTCTTGATCATGGCTGCTCGTCACTAGAGCACCTCGCCTTCCCGCTTCGCGCCCTTTGCCCCGGGTTTACCGGCGGGTTGGATAGCCGCCGCCCCCGGGGGCACTACTAAATCTGGCACCTCCACGTCTCACCTCCCCCTCCCCCCCTTAGTCTCCCCTTGTCACACGAGGATGGCCGGTCGCACGCACTCACTCGCTGCGATCCCGATAGCTCGTGTCATGGTGGAGATCCCCGGTCAGACTCTCACCCAGTGGCACTTCGAAGATATGCGCCCCGACCACCGTGAACCCATCACGGTGTTGGCGCAAGGCGGTGCTCCCAAGGACTCGCATCCGCTATGGGCAGACCCTCCTAGTAGAACTGGTTTGGCCAGGTCACAACTTGTCTGGCACAACGGTAACCGAGTGCTTGAGGACAGCTTCTTGGTCACCTCCGTGCACCGCCAGACTTCAGTTCTCCAAGCCATCTTTTTTGATAGGATGATTTCGGACGATTCCCTGGGTGCTCCATGTCGGACCGAGGTCATATCATCATGGTGTGAGTTTCAAAATGTGCAAGTTTAACAGGTGTCTAAAACTGGCGCTTGGCAGATTTAGGGTCGCGTTTTTTGCTCCATAATCTTGGGAACTGCTTAAATTGCCTATTTTGAACGTTGGGTGTGACTCCGACGTACTTGTCCCTTCTTTAAAAAAAAAAAAAAAAAGAACACCCACATCAACAACTAGGAATGATGGTAAGAGCATGCAAATCAGTAGAGGTACCTAGTAACGACTGATCACCAGGCGCGAGCGCGCGGGGAGCGTACCGGCCGTCGGGACCGGCGGTCTCGACACCCAACGCCTCGGTGTTACCGAGGAGGACAGAACGCGTTGACGTCAGCACCGGAGGTTGCTAGTGGGTCAGCCAGCGATGGATCGACTGGGCTTGACTGACAGGGCAGGTGAAGATGCGGGCGAGATGGTGGCATCTCGTGGTCAGCGTGGAGAAGGCGTCCTTGCGCAAGGGTCACCACACGTGGCGATTCTGGAGGAGATGGCTTCACCCGAGGATCTACAGCGACGGGCAGATGGGTGGCTGTCCGAACTGGAAGAAACACAACGACCCATGCAACAGATTGCCAGTCTGGGAGTCCTGTCTTCCGTGGCACGGGCCTGGCCGATAGTGGGTTGGGGGGGATCAGCCCTGGCTGCATGGTTGGAGGACAGGTTCCATCAGCTGGAGACTATCCTTTGGCAGATCCAAGAGGATCCGGCTCTGGAGGCTTTCGTTGATTGGCGACGGGCTGATGATTTGACCTTCGATTGCCACACGATCTACGAACAGGGAGTAGATTACTACGCTGAGCTGAAAGAGAGGTTGGCTAGTGAAGCGTGGGGGGAGGCTGATGTTTCCAATCTTGTCATCGCTCATTCGGGGGAGTCTGCATTACCAGCAATGACAATGTCATCATCAACAACAACAGCAGCTAATACAACAGCGGCGGCTACTCCGGTGCTCATCGGGGCGATGTCAATAATTGCATCAACGCAGCACTCGACAGCAACAACGATTTCAACAACTTCGACGGCGCTCCTGAGCCCTTGCGCACCAGGGAGTGACAACAACTACAACAACACCAATAACAACAACGATACTGTCGGGGATAACAACAACAACAACAACAATAATAACAACAACATGGATGTTGTGGCAAGTGCGACTGGGCTTTCCCTTTCCCCCCTCCTCCTCCCTCCCCTCTTGTATTCCTTCTTTCGCTCCTCCGGTGCTGATTGGGGGGAGGGCCGAGTGGATCCGTTGAATGGATTGATTGGTAAACTGGGAGGGGGTGTGGGGGAGCAAGGAGTAGGATGGTGGCGCGAAGGAGTAGGATAGGGTTGCATGTGATAGGCTAGCTTTACCGCATCTGATTCTGGCCATGTGGCAACAGGGTGGGTAAGGCTTGCTTATGTGTTTGAACAGCAATTTGGCACGTGGAATTGACAAATCTTACTTTTTTAACGTTTCTATAAACACAGGTTCTGGTCACGTGGCAGGCTAGGTGGTGCTGTGAGGATCGGCACCGGGACTGTTTGTGCGATTGATGCCACGTGGTTCTAGTGATTTGACCTTTTTCAATCTTCCTACTCAAGCGCGCTTTTGGCCATGTGGCAGGGCAGGTGGTGTCGTGAGGATCGACTTGGGAGGTATTTGTGTAATTGTTTTGAGCCCTGCCATGTGGGTATTGGGATTTGACCCTTTTCAACTTTCAACTTTCCTGCTCAAGCGCGTTTTCGATTCATCAGGTTCTCTGGTGGGCACATACCCTCTTGCTATAAACATAGGTTTCCACCACGTGCGGGGCAGGAGGTGCAGTGGTGCTAGGCACCAGGGCTGCGTATGCGATTGTTTCCTCTCCTGCCACGTGGGTATTTCGTTTGAATTCTCTGCAACAGAGCCTTCCCCACTTGTGTGTTTAGTGGCTAATTAGGATAGTGGGGGGAAGCTCATCGTAACTATCGATAAACTACTAGACTACTAAACTAGCTCAACAACCATTTCGTCAAAATGGAAATTTTTTATTTTTTGAACGAAATTGAAACTGATTTTTTTGGCCGAAAACTCGTCAAAATTTGTTGTTTCTGCGGGTCCAACGTTTTACAAATGCTGGACCCCCTGGCTGTACATGGACATAGCTTGAGACCAGGCACCTCCAGGCAGGACTGCCCGGAGGTCCCTGGTCTCAAGCGAGGTCCATGTACAGCCAGGGGGTCCAGCGTTTTACAAACGCCGGACCCTCAGGAACAACAAATTTTGACGAGTTTTCGGTCGAAAAACTCGGTTTCAATTTCGTGCAAAAAATAAAAAATGTCCATTTTGACGAAATGGAAGTTGCTCGCCCTGTTATTAATCTCTCTGCCTTATGATGGGCACAACGCTACTGGGAGCGCTGCGCCCTGGCAGCATCAATCATCAATCAAGGTTACCGCCACGGAGAGGAGCCGCGCGCGCTGGCAAACTGCATGCAGCAAGGAAAATGGCGCGCGCGCGCTTGACGATTGCGCGTGATTGGGCGCGCGCCTTGAGCTGAAAATTGGACCACCGGTGATCTATGTCGAGGAGCTGAGATGGTCCAAATTTCAGATCAAATGGTCCAGCGAATCATGAGATATCGAAGATCTAGGGCGCGCCACGAAATTCGAGTGTGTCGGGCGATGAGGACGACGGGGGCAGGGGACTGCGCCTAGCACACGCGCAGGTGCTGCCACGTCAGCACAGGTAGGGAGATTGTTGACATCATAGGGATGAGGGATTTGAGTGCTTGCTATGCTTCAGCGGGGAGTTGTGTTCTGCTGAGCTACAACGTTGACAGCGGCATTCCTAGCCGTCAAAGTAGAGAGAGAGGCGATAGTCTTTTGTGTTGTTTTGTGCCTATCTCTTGGCATCACAGGCTGGTGCAGGAAGAGAGGGGGGGTTGATTGCTTCTGTTTCAGGGTGCGAACCTTCAGGCATAGGAACCTCAACAAGACTGAGTATATTCTGCTTCACGGGATGGTACGTTCTCTTCTACTTTGTTGGGCTTTTCAGATCCAGCGTCCTGGTGGTTTTCGTGACGGTCTTTCTACTCACAGTGTGGTGACACGTGGCCATATTCAACATCATCTTTTTCTGAAGCAGCAATATCGGCGTCATGTTCCATCATCATCTTCATCATCATCATCATCTCGGGACAACATCAGTTAGTATGCGGGCTTCTTCATCAGCATGTTCGTCAGCGACAGCTTTATCATCAGCTCGTAAGAGGGCATCTTCATCACCAGCTTCAGTTTTATCATCACCGTCATCGTCGTCATCATCATCATCATCATCATCATCGGTGGTTGTCATCATCATCGTTATCATCATCATCATCATCATCATCATCATCATCATCATCATCATCTCATCATCATCATCTCATCATCATCATTATCATCATCAGCATCATCGTCATTATCATCATCATCAGCATCATCAGCATCATCAGTAGCAACAGCAGCATTACTGACATCATCATCATCTTTATGAGTATCTTTATTGGTGCGTCATCATCATCATCATCATCATCATCATCATCATCATCATCATCATGAGCATCATCATCATTGGTGCGTCATCATCAGCATCAGCATCAGCATCATCATCATCATCATCATCATCATCATCACCATCATCATCATCACCATCATCATCATCATCATCATCATCATCATCATCATCAGTATCATCATTTTCGTCATCATATACTCATCATTATGATGATGAGTATTATCATCATTATTTGTTTGTTATTATTAGATGTTGTTCTTCAAGGCATCGTTCGCCTTTCGCATCAGCAGGTAAGAGGGTAGCCATTATCTTCCTCATTATCTTTATCTTCAGCGTGCTGTTCTTCGTCATCAACAAAATCCAAGCGAATGTCATTTTGGTGAGGGGGAGGGGGAGAGCCCAGCTCTGCAGGGGTTTCTTTAGGTGGGTGGTGAAACCCTGGAGGGGGCACGGGCAGATTGTGAGGATTACTCTTTTCTGGGGCTGGGCATCAAATCCCAGCGGGGGCAGATTAGGGTGAAGGGATAGACAGGGGAGTGGAGTGAATGTAGGAAGGAAGGGAGAGTAGGGATTTTTATGAATCATCTCATCATCAAAATCTTCGTTATCATCATCATCATCCATGTTATATCATGCTTTCTGGTGAGTTGTAATTCTCGGCGGTATCTGGCCTCCTTCCTTAATCAGGATAATGAGATTTTAGAGATGGTTGAATCTGGACCGATATCTACAAAGTTGCTTTGTCTTTGCCCCTGGTTTGGCGATGCCAGAACGACGCTGGCCGGTGCTGGGGCAGTGCCCTGCAACCTGCATTGGCAGGAGTGTGAGGCCTTGTAGAGAGATCTGGGGATTTGCCGAGGGAGGAAGGCAATCCAGTGGCGAACCGGGGGGGCTGCCTTGACAACCTATGGGGCCAGGGATAGTCTAGGTGGCGAGAACAAGTCAGCTATGGTAGGCATTGGTAAGGAGGGTATTGTCTCTGAGATGTAATGTCGTGGTGCAGGGAGGGGTGGGAAGGTTCGAGGATTAGGAGGCCAGAAGTGCTGTTATAACATAGTCTTTTATATTTTCTATATTTTATTATTTTCTATTTACTAATCATTACCATAATCATCATCATCATCATCATCATCATCATCATCATCGCATCATTTGATTTATTAGTATCATCATCTGATTAATGATATATTAAGCTTTTTGGTGTTCTGAAATTTTGACAGCATCTAGCATTCTTCCACATTAGGAATATAGGACTTCAAAGATGATTGAACCTGGACTAGTATCTACTGAGTTGTTCTGTTCTGTGCCCTTGGTTTGCCGATGCCAGAACGACGCTGGCCGGAGCTGGGGCGTTGCCCTGTAACCTGCAAATGGCAGGAGTGTGAGGCCTTGTAGAGAGATCTGGGGTTTGCTGAGGGTGGAAGGCATTCCAGTGGTGAACCCGGGGGGGCTGCAAGGTGGCGAGAAGAGATCAACTAAGGTTGACGTTGGGTAGGTTGGTTTTGTCTCTGAGGTACAGTGTTCTGGTGCAGGGAGGGCTAGGAGTTGTTCTAGGATTAGGAGGCCAGAATAGCTGATATAGCATAATCTTTTATATTTTTTCATATATTTGAATTTAGCATCATTATCTGTAGTATCATCAGTATCATCAGGGTCATCATTATAACTATTTGAGGGACGCTGAGCCCGGTTCTCAGCAAAAAAAAAAAACTCTCTGCCTTATTCGTATCTCCCCTACTCCTCACTGTGCGGAAGATTGTAGTGGATAATTGAGGAGGCGAGTAGGGTAGAGTTTGATTTAGCACAAGGCGGGGTTAATCCTTCCCCACCAGGGAAGCAATCAATGCCCTGTGATTTGACTATATTTGTGTTATGCAGGGAAGCTGTCTCCAGGGGAGCAGTGGCTGAGGCTCTTCCAGCCCTAATGGGAAGAGGCATGTGTTTAAATGTTGTAATCAAATTCATAATTGGAGCCTTGGGCACTGGGCCCTCTTTTTCAAAAAAAAAAAAAAAAAAAAAAAAAAAAAAAAAGCATGCACTGATATCTGTCCTGCAGGGGGCCCGGGGCTCCAATCTATTGGTGGGGAGTTGCACCTGCTGAAAAGCGGGTCCAGCATCCCCTGAGATACATCTCTGCGATGATAACACAGCACTTGCTGGGAACCGGGCCCAGCTTCCCTTATGAACCTTGCTTGTGATAGTTGATCATAGTTCTGATGCTATAATGTTGACAATAAAGATAATGATGGTAATGTTGGTAATGAGCCAGCAAAACTGGAACTGATCTCGTGTCCCTGATAATAACTATGCTGCAACAGCTGCCTCTTCACCCATGAAGAGGTCGCCAAATTTATCAATGCAATACTAGCAGGCTTAGTAGCACCTACCTTTCACACAAACAAGTTTTGGAAAAAGCCTAAAAAAGGACTGTTTTAAAATCAGAGACCCTCCAATTAATCTAGCCCATACCGACAGCGAGGAACCAAGCTCAATGCAGAAGGAGGGAACGGGTCTGGGAAATCCGCCAAAGGCCGAAGAGGAATATCCGGGTGTAGATTTGTCCAATCATGGAATAAGAGGCGATAATCCCTGCGGACTTCATCTTGTTTTCCTGCCTGTTGTTCGTCTGTAGCTCCACTCCACTTGATCCTGCCAAGTTGCCCCCCTTGGAGACCCCCCAGTCAAGCACCACTGAAATTTTGAAAGTGTGGTTTTTATTTTTTATTTATTTATTTATTTTTCCACAAACAACCCGATTCGATGCTAGGCGTGCTGGTAAGAGCAAACACCACTAGCATCGCTGGGGAGGCTCCATCTATTGGTGGGGAGCAGCACCTGCT